TCTACCTGCCTGGCCATTCTGATAGGCTTGGAAACACTACTCCAGCCATAAGCCAGGAACACGTGTTTCAAGGGAGAGATAAAAGGGGAAGGGATGCTTGCATTATTTTAGGACAGGAAATAAAAAAGTAAAAAAAAAAAAAAGGAAAAAAGGGGGAAGGGATTTTATATTTAGTGGGGTGGCTAATTATACATATTTTACAAGCTATAGGAGGAGTCATGAATATTTATGAAGAGAAAACATGCATGTGTAATTGTGTTTTATACCTCCCATCCAGTCATGGCTAGGAACTTAGTATTAAGCCTTTTTTCTGGGGTCTCCTTAATGGAGAGAGATTAGTTGAGTTAGCAGAGGAGGGAGGAGTTTAGGATTTTATTTTTGGTTCACAAATGGTAAGAGCCTGATAACTTCATTTTACAGTTAGTTAACTTTCCCCTTAGGACCAAGAAGTATAATCACTGTGGGACTTACCCTTTTCAAAGCTCAGTTTCCTCATCTGAAATGCGAATAAATAGGGTTGTTGAGTGGATTCAATAAATTTATGCATTTAAAGAGCCTAGGACATAGTAAACACTCAAATAAAGTAGCAATTATTGTTATTTTGGTTGCAACTCTACCATCAGAAAATGTGGAGCACAAGAACAAAAAACTCTTTCTCCTCAGTTCCCTCAATCCCTTTCTAAAAGAGGGAGGCAGGCATTTTAGAGTCTGATAGAACAGGCTGGAAGTTTGGCCTTGGTGCTAGAACAGGTTATATATGCGGACAAGATACTTCTATCAACATCTTCCTACGTAATCACTACCATTGTGGAGGGCTTAGTATGTACAGACATTTTATTAAATGCTTTAGAAGCATTTTCACATTTAATTCTTTCTTAAACCCTGCAAGTAAGAATTATTACCCATATTTTTCAGATGAGGAAACAAGCTCAGAAAGATTAAATAACTTGCCTGAGTAGGACAGCTAGGAAGCAGCGAGATGCGACTTGAGAAACTGGGGATTTTACGATCTCCTGGGGTTAATGAGACTCAAAAAAGACAGGATATGGAAAGAGGATTGTGCTTGGCTTTAGTGCTTTAAAAACCTGATTTCTCAGTTGTCACCTTGTAAATAAGCTTTCTCTGTGTTCTATAAAGCCAAATTCCTTTCTGATTCATTTTCCTCCCGTAGTACTTTGCTCCATGTAACCTACTACTGTACATGTTGATTTTTTTTTTTTTTTAGAGACAGGGTCTGGCTCTGTTGCCCAGGCTAGAGTGCAGTGGCATCACCATAGCTCACGGCAACCTCAACCTCCTGGGCTCAAGGGATCCTCCTGTCTCAGCCTCCCTAGTAGCTAGGACTGCAGGCGATTTTTTGTAGGGGGTCTCCCTATGTTGCTCAGGTTGGTCTTGAACTCCTGTCCTCAAGCATTCTACCCCCTCGGCCTCCTAAAGTGCTAGAATTATAGGCGTGAGCCACCATGTCCCTACTGTGTTGATTTTTTTTTTTTTTTTGAGACAGAGTCTCACTCTGCTGCTCTGAGTAGAGTGCCATGGCGTCAGCCTAGCTCACAGCAACCTCAAACTCCTGGGCTCAAGCGATCCT